TCAGGCTTCATTGATTTTCTCATTATTCAAAGCTATTTTCCACAGCATCCTTAGTATCTGTTATTCCCCCTTAGAAACAGAAGGCAGAAAATAAAATGGTAACTGAGCTATCTTGAATGTGGACTCTTTATCACGATGTAGAAAGGGCTGAAAGAAACATGCAAAATGAATATATAAATTAAATATAATTTAAATACTCTATTAATTAGTTAGCTAATGAAATGCAATATAGAAGACCATAATTAGACTTGCACATTTTATTTAAAAAAGATGTAGAGAGGAATGAAAGAAACATGCAGCATATTTCAGTAGAGAAGCAATCCAATTATCAGAAGTGAAGGGATGGAGAGAAGTTATAAAGAATTCAGAATTGGCTATTATCTTTGGTTGGTGGCATGGGCCAGAGGGAAGTTCGAATTTCTATGGCACTGTTAATTCACAGACTAACACACACACACACACACACACACACACACACACACACACACACACAGAGAGAGAGAGAGAGAGAGAGAGACAGAGAGACAGAGAGAGGCAAACAGACAGACAGACACAGAGAGACAAAGACATAGAGGCAGAGACAGAGAAACACATACAGAGATAGTGAGAGAGTGGGAGAAAAAGATAGAGAATTATAATTAAAGCAAAGTAGACAATAAACACACCACTAACTTGCTCTCCTCTTGACTAATGTCAGTGTGTAGCTTTACCTATGTAAACTAGGAATCAGCCTGGCTGAGAATCCATTGATGAGACCCTGAGATGTCTTTTCCCTGGGTGCAGAAGTGTCTAGAGGAAATATATGATCCTAAAAAATCCTAGAAGTATTGTATGTTTTTTCTGGAGCTTCCACCCAGTTTTTATTTCTAAAAACGTTCTCTAGCTCAGTGTGACAAATTCTTTTTCCTATTACTTCTATTAGTTTGTTTGTGTCTTCTCATGTAGTGTCACTGGTGTGGCATGGCTGCCACCACAGCTACCATAAGAATGAAAGCCATTGACTAAAAAGGGAATATGCCAGTATTTGTGTTTTAAATTAAATTTAAACCAATTAAATGATGTTTCTATACATATGAAGAATGATGTAAGTAATAGAGAAAGTTTACATAGACCTTGACACACCTGGGAAAAACTTTTCTCATTGTACTGGTCCCAACTAACTCTGAAATGCATCAGCATTCTGGTTTAAGGTAGAGAAATTTGTGTTCCTCCTAGAGTCACCAGGAACCCAGGGATGTTTCAAAAACCTCTATGCACCTCTATTTGTCAGCATCAAGTCATCCACTGTCATGCAGTATGAAGAATTTGTGATACACAGGTTAAAGGCGTACCTTTAACCCATCACTTGGCAAGCAGAGGCAGGCTATGTGAAGTTGAGGCCAGACTCATCTAGAGTAAATTCGAAGACATCCAGGGTCACACAGAAAAACCCAGTAATTTAAAAACAAGAGGCTGGCAATTGGGATATATATTTTTTTGAGCTCAAATTCTAATACCATGTTGAGAGGAAGACAGATATTGAGGGGAAACGGGCTTGTAAAGCTTCTGGCTGACAGTCACATTCTATATGCATGTGAAGGTTTTTCTCAGGAACAGGACACAGGTATCATTTCCCATATCATAGCTGTGTAATGGGTAAAACTAGGACATGAGTCCGGGTGACTGAAGCAGTTCCTGAACCCGCACTGGACCTTATGATCTCAGCAACATCACTGTGTGCTGAGCCTCAGTTCTCTGGTGCACATGTGCTGGGGGCTGCAGGTACAAGCACGAACACCAGACGAGTCTAGACTTTATAGGGCTTTGGGTTTAAAGGACCAAGGACATTCATAAATAGAGCTGGAAAGTGTGTTCACTGCAATCAATAAAGGAAAAAGAAAAAGTTGGCCTAAGAGAAGATAAGAGACTTGTGATTTTCCTACAAATTATTAACCATCCATGATACAGGACTGGAGGAGCATGTGACAAATGCTTCATCCCAGTGCTGACACTCATCTATAATAGAGAGAACAACTTCTTTTGACTTAGATTTTGCCTGCCTGGCAAGTACGAAGCTGTGGATGAAAATGGCAGCTGTCTTTTCTCAAGCAAGAACTCATGCATTCGGCTGCCTACATCAGTTGGCTCATTTTGCACATCCTCCACCCATCTGAATTCATCATTTTCATGGATTTCAGAAATTTGCCTAAAGGGCCTCACATTTTAGATTTGACTTGCTCATTTCTCAGTGATGTCCCTCCCTCCATATGTAGTTGGCCAAGATACCTAAATATTGGTTCTGTGGCACTGCATGAATTGATTGGACACAATAATAAAATTGATTGGACACAATCAATTCATGGACACAATGGACACAATCTATTGGACACAAATTTATGTCCTTCGTACATGTCTTCAACCATTTTTTCCTTATCAGTAAAAGAGAATATAATTAGTAGTCCTCTCATGTGTTCTTGGAAAAACTTATTTACCTTCTCGTATGCATATTTTAATGAGTCACTACACTTACCATGCTGAAACTCATAGGAATGCTTATCTTGTCACTAACAATCTTGCTGAGCATACTAACTAGCCCATTTTCCATTTTCACTAATTTTCTTAATGAATTCTCCTTCTCAGTGTTAAAATTTGAATAAAAACTCAATCAGTTCCTTTGGGGAAAGTAATGGTCTGGTTTATAACCAGACTCTGTGGGAAAAATCACTTCCTAATTGTCCCTGGCGTTGCCCTGCCTCACCTTCATAGATCAGGATATTGCTTTCCCCATTTGCTTTAAGCTACTCAGGAATACAGTTCGTTGCTGAAATTATTTATGAAATATGGCCTTAGACTCTCTGTAGCACTATCTAATGCATCTCCTGGCTTAGGAGACATGTTCTTGATGAACATTAGCCATATCTACAAGCACAAGGAACTTATTCCCACATAATGAGACCTTTGTACTGGCAGAGTCATGAGGGGTGACTTTCTTAGACAGCAATGAATGCTATGAAATACATACCAAACTTTCAGGCAAGATGTGCCTGACGGCGCAATGGTGACGTAGCTGGTATGTGAGTGACCAGCTGCTGCCTGGTTGGATCTGAGGACTTTCTACAGTCCTGATAATCAGGTCAAAAATCCACAACTGAGGAGCTCTTAGGCTGTAGGTAAAAAACATAGTACTGTTTCTTTTCTCTTTTGACATAATATCAAAACACCTTCAAATATTGATGGTTACGAACTGAGACAAAAGCTAGTCCCAGACACAGTCCCAGGCTATGAAGTGAATGGAGGGGAATTCAGCGACCCCTGGCTGCATGTGTTCATAATAAAGAACAGTACAGGGCTCAGTCGAAAACAACGCTCTTGTACCACTTCCTGGCAGCTCAGGAAATGTTACCAAAGAAGAGGCCAAATTGATGTAAGAGCTTAATATAGGGAGAAGGGATGTGAAATACCATCCTATAAGCATGGTGGCATAAATATAAACTCAGAGCAATTCTGTCTACCAAGCAGCCAGCTTTGGATAGAGAAGGGACTCACACGGCCCTGCCACTTGCTGCTGAACTATTGGCAGCTATCTGATTCTGGAAGAAGAAAAATCAGTGTATCAATTTTTAATATTTTTTAGCTTCTTTGAGCCTATCAGGCTGTGATAGGTAGTTCAAACCCACAGTTTATGTCATATATAATATATATTCATATTTTCTTTTATATCTCCTTAACAAAAATTAGGACAATGTAATACCACACCCAAAGGCATTCCAAAGTTCAAATAGTTCTGTCAGTGCAAAGATCAAATTCCAGCTGTACTTAGGAAACAAATCTACTAAAATGTCAACAGGGATAGAAGCAATTTAAAATATTTCAGCATTGTAAATGCAGTACTTGAATTTACTAAGTTGTCATTTAGTATGCATTGAATTGTAGAATGAGAAGCTCACCCTTCTACCCTATGAAGTGGGTAAGCCAGAGACAACCATACCTTACTGTAATTAATACTCTGTTTCCTGGATATCAAGAAAAAAAAATAACCAGCCAATAAACCCAGCATACAAACCAGTAAACCCAGTGAATAATCCCATCGCTTAAAAAACAGGGGCTGTCTCTGACATGAACTCAGTGGCTGGCTCTTTGACACCCCCCCCCCACCCCAGGCTACAGAGGAAGACAATGCAGCCAGTCCTGATGAGACCTGATAGGCTAGGGTCAGATGGAAGGGGAGAAGGACTTCCCCTATCAATGGACTGGGGGAGGGGCATGGGAGGAGAAGAGAGAGGGAGAGTATGATTGGGAGGTGATAAAAGAGGATGTTACTGCTGGGATACAAAGTGAATAAATAAAAAGAAAGAAAGAAAGAAAGAAAGAAAGAAAGAAAGAAAGAAAGAAAGAAAGAAAGAAAGAAAGAAAGA